AGCGAGTCCAAAAAGCAGATCAACTTTATTTCAGATTACCCTGTGCAGAATTGAAGATAGCACCAGCAAGATGGCTGCATGTATGAAAAAGGTATAAGTCCGAAGGAGCAATGTCGAGGCTGTATGGTGGGTGTGGCAAAAGATCCCATTGAAGTCCGTACAGAGTTCAGCTGGTGAATGCAGACACATGCATGGTCTTGCATCATCTTGATGAAGCATTACCTTTTTGCGCTGGAACTCGGTTCAACATTTTTCCTTAATCAACACAAACTACCATCTTGCTGTACATCTTACTGTTTCTACCTTTTTCCAGATACACTTTGTGGATGCTACTTCTTTTTGTTATTCAAATTGTGCTTTGTGATGCTGTCAACAGGCTCATAAGGTGCAGACCTACTTTCTTTTTGGCCTGTGAAGTTAATTCACTTTTCATCACAAGTGAGAATCCAGTTCAGAATTTTGTCCTTGCCTTGATATTTGAGCAAATTAGCGCAGGCACATGTGGTCTTTATCTGCTTGAGTCAGCTCATGCAGCACCCAGCGATTGAACTTGTACATCTAGTTTACACAATGCAGAGCGCGACTAATGGATATGGCACTAACGTCAACTCCTTAGCAAGCTCTCGAGTGGTTGTATACTGATCTTCTTCTACAAGTTCTTGCAGGCAGGCCTTATCAACATCGTAGGCCAGCCAGAGCACTTTGCTTCTTGAATGTCATAGTCCTTGTTTTTAAACTTTAGGTACCAAACCTCCACAGTGTCATATGACACAACATTAGTACCTAAAGCTGTTTTTGCAACTGAACTGGAAGTGATGGTTCTAATCTGGTAGCATGATGATTCCATTTCAGAACACAAATTTCACAACACACGGCAAATCTCTTCCTTTCAAATGCCAAAAATCATTTGACAAAATATGATTAAACACAATGATGCAAACTGTTTGCAATACTATATTTGTGGTGGGGGGAAAATTTTCATTAAAACCCCATTATTTAAGAGAGAATTTTTTATTTATACTGGGTTGGCAACTAAGTAATTGCGGATTTCACTCATAGATGGCTTCAGTTGAATTTTTAGGGTTGCAGACGTAGTACAAATGTAAGACACATTTTGTTATTTGATAGTTGGCAATTCAGCTGTAAACAGTAAAAAAGTTTTTTGATCGGTTGCGTAGTTTTCATTTGGCGTTCGTCGAAAAATGGAAAATCAAAAGGAACATTTTCGTCATATTTTGCTTTTTTATTTCCGCCAAGGGAAAAACGCATCACAAGCTCATAAAAAGTTATGTGCTGTTTATGATGACGAAGCCTTAAAAGAACGAAAGTGTCAAAATTGGTTCGCCAAATTTCGTTCTGGTGATTTTTCACTCAAAGATGAAAAACGCTCTGGTCGTCCAGTTGAGTGATGATGAGGACCTAATCAAAGCAATAATCGATTTGGATTGCCACAGTACAACACGTGAGATTGCAGAGAAGCTTCATGTATCCCATATATCCATTGAAAATCACTTAAAACAACTTGGACTATGTTCAAAAACTCAATACACGGGTTCCTCACAAAATGAAGGAAACGCATTTAACGCAACGCATTAACAGCTGCGATTTGCTAAATAAACGTAATGAAAATTGATTCCATTTTTAAAACGACTGATAACTGTCGATGAAAAATGGCTTGTTTACAACAATATCAAGTGGAAAAGATTCGTGGAGCAGGCAGGTGAAACAACTCAACAAACATCAAAAGCTGATATTCATCAAAGAAGGTTTTGTTATCAGTTTGGGGGATTAAAGAATTGTGTACTTTGAAATCTTACCACCCAACCGAACGATCAATTCTGATGTTACATTGAACAACTAACAAAATTAAACAATGCAGTTGAAGAAAAGCGGCCGAATTGACAAATCAAAAAGATGTGTGTTCCATCATGACAATGCAAGGCCCACACACATTTTGGTCACTCGGCAAAAATTATTGGAGCTTGGTTGGGATGTTTTGCCACATCCACATATAGTCCTGACCTTGCACCATCTGATTACTTTTTGTTTTGATCTTTACAAAACTCCTTGAATGGTAAAAATTTCAATAATGAAGATGATGTCACATCGTACCTGATTCAGTTTTTTGCTAATAAAAACCAGAAGTTTTATGAACGTGGAATTATGATGCTGCCTGAAAGATGGTGAAAGGTCATTGATCAAAATAGGCAATACTTACAGAATAAAGTTATTTAGTTCCATGAAAAAATTGTCTTTGATTTTCTAAAAAAAATCCGCAATTACTTAGTTGCCAACCCAATATATCGTCTCCCAGGGAAATAAAATTGAGGAAACTTAATAAAAAGCTAATTCTACTGTAATAAAATATGCCAGTAGTATAATTAAAAGACGGAAATAAACAAATTTTTTAAATTAGGAGATTAATAAAATCGGTAAAACGATAGTGCAGATAAAAACGAAGCAATTACTGTTATTAAATAGAAATTGACTTATCAAGGGGAACAAACCAATTAACAATAATTAATATAAGCGAAAGTGTTTCATCATTTTCCCCAAGTAAGAATCAAAGATTAATCAAATTACAGTCAGGAACTAATTTGATTAGTACAGTACAAAATTAACTTTTAAAATGTTTGGCCAATCTTATTTATTCGCACAAATTAAAAATATTTTTAGTTTAGTGAACTTCTTTGTATGACTTTTAGATCAGGATTGCAATGATATAAGACTGCAAGAGAATTTTTCTTGATTCAAAATTATTTGTGTGAAAATGCTTTTAGTATACAGATTGTAACAAATTAAAACAAAAAAATTACACATTAGAATATAACTGAATGGCATTTATGGGGGAAAAAGCAACCTCAAGTCATTCTAATATTTTTATTAAAAATGTCAAAAATCACAAATTTTGAAATTAAATATCTCAGTCAATTTCTGTTGCATGACAACATTACATTTTGTTTCACTTTTATAACAAGTATAAAATTTTCCTAAATGAAAGGTCTGGAAGAATGTATAAAAAGTTAAATATCGTGATTTTTACGAAATTGATTTCTATAAATTTAAAAATCCTAAAATATAAATATTTGCATCATATAAAGCATTTTCATATGACCAATGGTTGCAAAAGTAAAGGCTTGGTAAAGATATTTATGGCTACAGAGTATATACTAGTATTATGACAATGTCTGACTATTTTTGTTAAGAAAAAAGTCTCTATAAAAACAGTAAGTAAAGCAACATCAGAAAATCCATTCATATAACAGTTCACAAAGTTAAATAAACCATTACAATTACAATCAAAAGGAATTCTTATTTTCAATATGCAAAGAATACTCAACCAAATCAGTTATTTTATAGCCTGCTTTAGATTTTGTACAATATCACATAGAAATATTCAGACAAAAATATAGTTTCATTTACCTGGAAGCGAAGGACAATTTTCTTTTTAAAATTTTTATATGTATTTATTAAATTAGTGAGAGATAATCAAACTAAAAAGATTGATATCTATAGTTTCATACAATCCATTTTATTATTTTCACACCAAAATTCACAAGAAGTTTCTTACTAGTATCAAGCATATGTACAGTAGGGGATTATTGAAATTTTTCTATCAGAATTCTGATTCTTTCACTTAGGAACTCGGATATTATTAGATCTCTTGCATTGTCTCAAATGATTAGGTTAACAGCCACACAGCCTTCAATAACAGAATGTTATAGTATTACTGGTCAAGCTGAAGAGAGCTAAAGGAATCGAGGCATCAATAACCTTTTTTTATTGTTAATCCCATTTAAACAAAGCAGCTACATTTTTCAGCATCATAGAAAATATGAAATACTAATTGCCAACAATTAGCATAATTTACTTTACAAACTTAATTTCATCACATTTTTTTAATTAAAATTCCTGACTGCAAACCATTTCGGCTTCAGTGCCTTTTATCTTGGGGGGGGGATGCTCTCTAATTATAACAAATATTGTTGAATGTATGAATTCACTTGGATAATGGGAGGGTTCATTTGTGAATCATTTATTGTAATGCTCCTTTAAACCCTCTGACTGCTCAATTTGTAAATCAAAATCGCTTAAAAAATTTTGTATGTTTTCTTTGGGGCATATTTTAAATCTATATATATCGGAGAATTGAAAAATGCATTTTTCCTTTCTAGAAAATATTTTTTATAGATTTTTATCATGAGAAACTAAGTTACCAGAAAAAGCAATTTCAGATGTTATCACCAAAAAAAAATTTTTTTTTAAATAAATTTCAGTCAATTTTTATTTATTGCATAATATAAAAAAAGTAAAATATATAAAATTTAAGAAAATATAAAGCACTGAGGAAAAGTATCTTAGAAATGCAGTTTAGTAGAGTTCAAAACAGGGTTCAAGACAAAGTTCAACTTCACAGACTTTGCACCAGATTTCAATAAATCTAATTAATAATCGATCTAATTATTAATTTAATCAATAAATCTAATTAATAATTCAATAATTTAATTAAGTAATCAAGATAATCGCTGAATGTTTTCTAGCAGCCAGTTCTAAGAAAAAAGCGGCAAAGAGTGGAGTTTGTGCGGTAATACCGTGTGCCTTCAAACGCCGCAATCTAGTGGACATTAACAATATCTGTTGGCCAAAGCGTAAACGTCTAATACTGTATATAATTTATTTCAGTGATTAAACGGAGGAAAAATGGGATGCGCTCCTCAACAAAGGAAGAAAAGCACATGCCCGTGGAAATCGTGGGATGAGCAGATTTTGCTACATTTGAGTTGCCCATGGAAATCGTGGAATGAATAATTATCTTTCTGCTCTAAGCTAGTCTGACTAGATCCAGATCAAAGGATATCAAACTGTTTTTGGTGAATGCAGAAATGATGTATGTATTTCGTAGAAAGTCACATTTTAAAACATGTACATTTTTTAGTGTTATTAAAAAAGTTCATATGCTTTCATAAAATGAATTTAAAAGTATGACTACAAAGGCAAAATGTACAGAACACAAAACATTTATTATTGAAATAAGATATCGAATATGAAATTCATACAATGTTATCACATTTTTAACAAAAAATACTTACATCCAATGCCTTGGCACATCACTTATAATTTAAAAAATAATTTTATATATACTTTATCCAATCAAATTTTCAGTGAAAATCAAATTTCAGTTTAAAAACAAATTCTTTTGACTGTAAATTTAATTCAAATGATTGGACAATAAATAAATACATTACTCAAACTACCAATTATTACAGAAGCTATAAATAAAAAGGAATCATTAATTTTTAAATTTATAGTGATACAATGCAAATTCAAATATATACTAATTTAAATTACAAACAGTAAGCAATTACAGAATGAAAAGGATGGCCAATATTAGGTACCAAATCTGATGAAAATTCTTTGTTTGCTACACATAATAATTTTACACAAAGAATATTCATTATTCAAATAAATCTATTTTCAACTTATGCAGCCTTTAGTTTCGTATTAAGACATAATACAGAGTAATAATAATGCTCAATCTTATAAAATCAGACAAATTCTCAACATAAAACCATGCATCATTTACCTAGTATGAAATATCATAATTATTATTTTGCATATGTTTTATTGAGGCACTTCTGGCAAGTTTGAGCTTTCTGAATTTTAAGAAATAGCCATCCTTACAAAAGGAAATAACAACATTAACAGAACTAGAAATAGACTAAAATAAAATACTATGAATATACACCTATTAGTTAAATAAATGACTAGGTTGAAGTGGACTATTGTTTAACTATACAACTATTACTTATGTTCAAAACATCGTTATTACCTTATTCATACCAAAATATTTTCGCAAAAAATTCAACAGCAATGTACAGCAAGAAACCAATTAATTTCCTTCATATTTTGTTTAGTACTATTAATTACACTTAAATAAATTTATATACACATTTAAACAAATCAAACACTTTTTACAAAAATGATAAAATTTCATCACACATTTGATAAAGTAATTTTCGATAATATTTATGCATAGTGCACATGAATCACCTTTGGTAACATGAAATATAATTTCAGTTTTGTTAATTTTTCAATCACAAAGTCACAGCTAGATCAAGAGAAAATACTTCAAAATTCATTAAACAAGTTTCCACATCAGCAACCAACCAAAAATATTTAACATTCCTTTTTTGAAAAAGTTTACATATATATACTCATAGTCCACATATTTTGTTTAACATATAAAAAAGACACTTTTATTAAGTAAGAATCATCTTGTTAAAAAAAAAAAAAAGAATTTGCATTGTATAAAAATTAGTTTTATTACAGATTAAACATCTTAATGAAATAAGTATCCAAGGATTACACAATCAGTCATAAACAATATAATAAAAGAGCTCCTAATCTAGTTAGTATCTATGAAGAGAAAGAAAAATATTAACAGATGTTAAACGTTTTCAAAACCAGCAAGAATAAGGCAAATATGTGATAAATATGAAAACAGATACTTCAACAATGGTTTTTAAAGTGAAAAAAATGTCAAAACCTTTTTAACCAATAAGTTGCATAAAAAAATAGATGGAAAATATAATCAAAACATAAAAAAAAAAAAAAAAAAAATATAAGAGTTGGCAAATAAAATTTAGAAAAGACAGTATATAAAATAAAATAATAAATATGGAAACTGAACTATTTAATAGATTAACAATAATAAAATACTGATAAAAGTGTATATATTTTATTATATATCAATTTATGGGAAAAGCTAATATACAAATTATTCATTTATTACAATACACTCTTATTTTTCTTAAACATGATTGCAAATACTTTCAAAAATAAATAATAAAATATACAATAAAGGTTTCAATAACATTTTTTAAACCAATATCACCCACTGAAGTATATTTTTTACAAATAATAACAACAACAATATGTACACGACTATTACTTTCACATAGCACCCAAAGGTAACAAAACATATACAATGAAGAAATACAATTAGTTTTTCATTTTTTTTAATAAACTTTGGTCTTCCGAGATGCAAGATATTTTATAATTCATTGTGTCTGCAAAATAAAAACAGTATCTTATTTACAACGGTAAATATTTTTTTTTAAATAATGCAATTAAAGTTAGAAGAAATGTAGAAATGCTTTACGTTTAGGGCAATAAATGAATTAACGAAACAGAGAAACAAAATCTTGATTAAGTCTTTTATGAGAGCATGTGTGTATGTATATAACATATACGTATATTCATATAGAGAGTGGAATACTGAACATTTAAGCATTTCAGTGTTTAAAATAATAATAAATAAAAATAAATCCCAAAGATTCCACCCCCTCTTTTTGCAGATAAATTAAAAATATAATAAATGAAGCTTCCATTTTTATAAAAGTTATGGAGCTTAAAGAGGTGAAAGGCAGTTGCTATCATCTTTATTGGCCCTTTAGTTTTGCACTACCAATCTGGAATAAATGCCCTATTTGTCTGCTCAGTTCTCCGAATTGGGGAAGATCCGAAAAGCATTTCATATAATGTTATATTGTGAGATGCTTTTCTATTGGATTACATTTCTACTGTAATCAAATAATGAACACAATCATTTACTAACATACGTTACATACTTAAAATTCAGCTTAGAAACAATACTAAAAACAAAATATTACACATGCTTAATAAAAAATTTTAAATACTTAATTATTAAATCAAATACATCAAAGAACAGTTTGACAAAATATATATTCACTAACTGTGATATAAAATACATGAACTTCAAATACATATCAAGTCAAAAATGATGGGAAGGGAATACACAACTTTAATAAGAAACAGAAGAGGGAACAGAACTCCTCCATTTCAGAAGATTTCAAGAATAGTTTTTTCAAAAACAAAAATGCAAATTTTTGGAAAGTATACAAGTTTAGAGCCATTCTAAATAAGATCATGCATATTAATTAATAAACACAAGCAGTTGTCCAAATACAAACTGAACATCATGTTCATCATTACCTGTCAACTTAAAGGTAACCTATACAGTCTGAATAATATGTTCTCAGATAATGTATACACTGGCAATGTATCCCCAATTATAGAAAAATTAAGTAACATAGCAATTAACTAATACAAAAACAAAAGTACATTAAAATGGCTCTTAAATGGAAATTTTTGTTTGATTTATGAATAATGTATATAATAAAATTTTGCATAACTAAAGCTTATCAAATCACAGAAGCACAGTTTAATATACTATACCAAACTCAAAACTCATACAAATCTGGTGTTTTATTATTTTTTAAATATCCTCTTTAAATACAATATTTCACATATTAGTAATCGCAAATATTCATTACTTCCTTGCTTGTGCCAAATTAATCAAAACAATCCAAAACAAGCCTCACACAGGAAAAACTGGTACTTTAAATTTACAGATATATTATATATATATATATTTAAAAAATAAAAATAAATTTCTTCCATTAAGAAATATTTGTATTCTTTATCATGTAGCTTAGTTTTTACACAATTCCATAAACAATCATGGAAAACTACTTTGAACATAATCTGAATTCTTATAAAAATACTCAGAATTCTAATGTTAATGTATTAAAAATAAAAATAGGTAGAAAATTGGACCTAAAAATTTTTATATTTTACATTAAATTCTTAAATTTCCACATAAAGCTTTTCAAAATGGAATACAACAGTAATAGGAAAGTCATAAAACATAAAAAATGAGCTTTTTCTGTAATTTGTTTAATTATAAAAATTTTCTCAAAATACACATTTAAAGAAAATATAAACATAGAATTCGTATTGGATTAATTAAAAAAAATATGCATGATTTTTTTAACTTCACATACAAATAAATGAGAGAATCACTTAGCATTTATAAAACTGTATATGCAGACTATTATAACAAATCTAAAGTAATTAAATATACATTACTTACTAAAACTCTCTCAAAAATACTTATAACATATATGTATGAATGTACATTTATTGTTTACTGTACAGTGGAGTGCTTACTGCACAAAATGCATTAGCAGCCAAAATCAGGCCCCCCTTTTTTTTCTTCTTCTCCATCTCTCTTTCACTTCTTAACTTTCTTTACAACAATGAATGTCATCATGAACCGCCCATTAGAGAAGTTTTTCAGTATAATTAAAAAAAACATTAGGAAATTCTAGAAAGACAAAAGTACAAATTAGTATATAATTCATGCAATAAAACTACACTATAGGAGAAAGGGGTTAGATAAACTAGTTCTAATCATAAAATTTAATATCTCAAATAACCATGAATTCACAGCCAGATGAATGCTCATAGAAATTAAAAGCATATACAAAAAGACTGCTGCACCTAGATTATACAAGCTAAAAGCAGCTCAACAATATGGGATGTGTTCAGTAGGCACGAATTAGAACCACCACTAATTTGGAAACCTCTGATTAGTAACTACCTAGTACAGTAGAAGACAAAAAATCCACAGAGCTTGGGTTGATTCTATTTTAAAGTTTTGTAAATTAAATAAAAAAATATATAAAAAATTAGTACGCACACACACACAAAGGAAAAAAAATCATATAAAAGGAATTAATTCTTTTTTTTTTTTTTTGTATTTTTATGAAAAAATATTACATATATTAACATTTTATTTACAAAAATCATAAAAAACATATAATTTTCCTCCCCATTTTTCAAACATTCGTTTTAAAATTTTAGGCCGTTCTAATTTGTGACCCTTTAAAACATCATACAAAATCATTACCTCCTAGTCAATAGTTTTACTGCTTTAAATTCATTATTCCCTCAATATTTGGAAGTTATTTACATTTAATAAAATATTTACTTGATAATGGCATAAAGGAATTTTCTATAAAACTAGGTCACTTGCTTTGATATTAAATCAGAAAATTTGTCACTAATAATTGCCGAAAATCCTCTGTATATCTCCAACTAAAGAAACGTTTTAATGCAGAATTAATTTCAGCATCTTTTTTTTTTTTTTTTTTTTGTTTATAAACACCAAACAGCAAAAAATATCTTCAACGAACCATAGTTCCTTTTGCTGCGATGACATATGCCATGTACTTCATATTTTTAATTTAAACATTTTATATTTTGCAGTTTTTTTCACTGTTAACATCTGAGAACCTGCGCTGATTTCAGTGCAGATGGATTTTAGGTAAGCAGGTTTTTGCTCTTCTCCTGTATTATACCTAATTAAGTAATCACTCTGATCAGGGTTCGTACACATTTCTGCACACGGAAATTAAGGACTTTTAAGGACCATTAATGAAAAAAATTAAGGACCTATGAGCAAATGGTAACTGAATAAATTCAATTAAAAATATTATTCTATCCTTGAATTTCACTTTTGTAATACCATCCTAAAAATAAAACAGATTCCTAAGTAGTATGCATTATTACTAAACATGAATTAACTAACATAATTATTAATAAGTTTGAGAATAAAATAAACATCATGCAGTTTATCAAGTAGCATTAAATATTTTGCACTTATAATAGTTGGACATATTTGAAAGAAGATAAGCGACATTTACGTTTTACTAATAGTTAACTTTATGCTTTTTTTTTTTTTTTTTTTTTTTTTTTTTTAATAATGTCTTATTTTGTCACATACTTGGTCAGTCTAGAGGTTTAGGAAATAGTAGGGAGATTTTATGTCAAACGGCATAGGTTAAAATGAGAAGTGAGATCATAATCAGCATGATTCATACAAAAGACTGAATGTTGTCACTCTGCTGCTTGTCTATAGAGAGACCTGCTGTTTGGAACAAACCTGAAAGGCCTGATGTAGGCACGGTTGGCAAGTGTTGAAAGTTAGTCAAGCTCTGCTTAATGCAGTTAATGTCATAGCTTTGTGTAGAGTTTCAGGGGTTGTAAACCAGTTAATATACTTTAAGGTTCCAATAAGCCATTAAAGCGCCAGAGATGATAAGTTAGACAAAACTAGAAGAGAAACACGCTAATGTGACAATCAAAAAACAACCTTATATTTAGCGTAAGTATATTGAAACACTCAATCGATTTCAAAGGCAGCTAACAGTCCCTCCTCATCAGGAGAAAGAAATACCTGGAAAGAAGAAAATAAAGGGGAAAGAGTCTCAGAAACATGTGGTCCTTATCAGCACTGCACGTGGTTATAATTGGATATTTTTTTTTAAATCAGTGTTGCACTGGCCACCTACTTTTACTAAGCCAGGCTATCTGATCAAGCATAAAGGACAAGAAAAATTAGCGAAGTTAAAAATAGGGAGCGAGGGGCAAATGCACCTATACGCTCAAAATCTGAACTTCAAATAATGGAAAGCAACCACTGAACGGATTTTTATACCCTCTGGTAGTACCAAACACGAGGAGGTAACGCCATCTATCGGCAAAAATAACTGAATTAAGATAGTAGAATTTTAAAGGCATTAGGAAGAACTGGATTGGACTTCAAATCATTTAAACCTGCTAAATCTTTGCGAATATGAAAAGCCTCAAGAAAATCCAATTCACCTATGGAAGAAGCTTTTTGGATAAGTTTTGCAGACCCAAAGTCAAAATTATTAATTTCGCCTTTTCTGACATAAGATTCATGTTCCTTGATACGAAACTTCAACGGTCTTTTTGTTTGGCCAATATATCTTAAACCCACACTTGAACGATATACTATAAATTCCCAAGAATTCAAGACAGAAACGCAATCTTTTAGAATCAAAGGGTGAATTTTTTATTAATAGGGAAGAAACAAGACTTTGAAAATTGAATTTCTGGAGAATCCGTGCAATTTTATAGATAACAGAAGGATAAAATGGAAAACGACAAGGTCATGATATTATTTCTAACAGTGGAATGTCTTCTTGATGGGAAACTGAAAATTTTTAACGGCTTTATCAATAATCACGGGAGAAAATCCACGGTCAATCGCAACTGCTCTCAAATAATTAAGTTCATTGGTAAGCCAAAAATTCAGAGGAACAAACTTTAAGCACTCCAGAATACATAATAGTAAAAGAAGCCATTTTTTGCTTAACAGGGTGGCATTACATGCATGGGGTGGTAAACAAACTGCAAAGGGTTTTTACGGTACACAGGGGTGCTAAAATCAGCTTCATTGTGGATTAAAGAATATCAAGGAAGGGGAGGGAATTGTTGGATTCAATTTCAAGAGTGAATTGGATGCTGGATCAATTGAATTCATAATAGATAGAATCTCGGATAAATCCTCTTTACTCTCAAAAGTGCAAAGTATCGTCAACATACCGAATCCAAAGACGAAAAGTAGTTTATCAAATAATTTCATCTCAAAATAGTGCATATAATGTCAAGCAAGTACCAGATTGAGAGGATTACCCATAGCCAATCTTCAACTTACGAATATGCATTTTGGAAAACAAAGTGGGTTTGATTTAGAAACTTTAGTAAGCGAAACCAACTCATTAATTTCAGTATATGTGAAGTGAAATTCCCGAAGCCTAGTTTCAAGACAATTTAGTGCTCCTTCGACCGGAGCATTAGTAAACAGTGATTTGACATCAAATGAAACCATAATAGAACGAAGAGGAGAAATATTTTAAAAGTCATTGATAAACATCAATGACTTTTTCAGAATTTTTTATCAATGACTTTTCAGAATTTTTTACAGTGTGAATATTGTTAGCAAGTAAAGAAGAAAATCTGGAAACTAAATATTTGGCCAAAGGATATGAAGCAGTACCTATGTTGGAAACAATTGGTCAAAAAGAAATACCAGTTTGTGGACTCTTGGAAGAGCATAAAGCCTAGCGCAATAGTATAGGTGGATAAGTGATTTTCTCAATGCGTTGGCAGAATATGAGAAAATTTGATAGAACATTCAGAAAGAAATATGAAATATAATATGGTAAGGGCCGGTTATAGAGCTAATGTGCAGAATTTTTAGATTTAGCGACACACCAAGCAACAAAATCTAGAAATGGAAAAACTTTAGAATATTTAGAGCAGGCACTGGAAGAGAATTTTAAAGGCACTAGGCAGCAGAATTTAGGATACACAGAGATTGCATCAGGTGGGAAAATGCATAGCACCAGCTCTGTGTATGATGCATTTAGACACATTAGATGAATCTTTTAAATTACCAGTTTTCTATTTCTTTATTAATAAAAAAGCTCTTTCTATGCCTGCCCAAGTGTTAAGATTAGAAGCATTTTTGATATTTTCCATGCTTTTGTCTAGTGAAAAATAGAGAAAATAAAGGGAAGATAAACATGTTAAGAAAAAAGATTCTAGTATCAGGAGTAAAACATTCAAATATTATGTTTCCACTGTTCTTCCAGACGTTCTCCAAAAAGTAAGAAATTCATCGCAAATTTTCTGTAAAATGTATCCATTATGTGTTGATATGTTGATACCATGGGGATATTTTTCATTTTGTCACATATTTCTCGAATCTTCTAGATCGTGGGTCTATAAACTTGCCTTCAAATCCTTCTAAGCTTTCCATGCTGCAATGTCAAAAATACTAAAAAAAATTATCCCATTATCCCAACCAATTCTGTAACAGCAAAAAGCCAGAAATATTTGGGGGGGGAGAGGGAGGATGTAAAATTAATTTTATAGAGAAAACTGATGCATATTGAATTTTGAATAATCTGAGACAATTACATGAGAAAAATGCTTATTATGAAAAAATTAAAAAGAAGACATTTTAATTAATTACATAGCTAATTTTGCTTTTACTAAGAGCTGAATTATGCTTTATAGCTATATACCTTGTTTATTTTGCAGATTTAAAATATTGTATAATAAGTTGCCAAAATGAAACTTTATGAAACAGCAAAAAATAATAATGTTTTTTAATTTTATGTTTTTTAAAAATAATTCTAATATATTAATTACCATTATTTTAATGAAATTTATCAATGTTATGATGTTTTAAAAAATTGCCGAAAATTCTCTGATTTGGAATTAAAAATTTCTATAGAAACTGATCTTAAAATCGCCGAAGTTGACAAGCTGTCAAATTTAGAACCATTAATAAAAGATTCGCAATCCCAAAAGCGAAAAGTTGTTTAAGAGCTCTTTATTAGACAATAATTTCGAAATTCTTATTTTCACTTTTGCTTAGAAACTCGAGTATCCCATCATTTATATTAGAAATAGAAACAAATTATAACCCATAAACCCATTCAATAGATAACCATACACGTCAGTGAGTTGCCAAAAATATTCCTCCAAAATGCTAATTTACACTCAAAATGGCAGTCGTAAAAACAGAGAGAAATTTCAGATGATTAAAATTAAGGACCTTCTACTGATTTTGGCCAAAATTAAGGACTTTTAAGGACCAAAAATCGATTTAAAAAATTTAAGGCCTCTTAAGGACTGTACGAACCCTGTCTGATGAATGCAGCTCCACACATATCCAGAAAAATATTAAAGAACATTCAACCTAAACAAACTTTTAATAATAAACTTTCTAATAAACAAAAATAAATCAACTATAACCAAATTTTTAATGATAAATCTAATACTACTGCAGAATATTACAAAAGTAAAATAAAATTTACAGCTATTCAGTATTGTTTTGAATAATCACTACTGCTGATTTCTTCAAATTATAAATAATTTATCTTATGGAAATTTTCATGCTGCATTGTATATACACAACCTGGTGAAAAAATTTGCAATACCATGACGATTTGGCTGCATAATTATGCACTGAAAGGAATATACAGCTGAAGAATTTATGCAAATGATCTGAAATGCAAATTTGTGATGTGATAAGTCAGCGAGAAAAAAGAGAAGAAAATGTCAAAAGACTCAACAACTGGCACACTCTGTTGTTAAGGGATACCTCTTTCTTGGGCTGTTTCTAATCTTGAACACACTTCTAGCTGAAAACATATATGGCAGATAATGCCAAAGTCAAAACAATCAGATGCTTTAGTAAAGGGTTTTGTTTCAGATCTATGCATAGCTGATAGTTTTTGTATTATATCTTGGCTAAAACACATCTACATGCATTCACAGGGCAAAAGTTTAACAATGATTAAAGAAATGGATATGAACCCTGTCAGCAATACTGCTGTGCTTAGACCCGGGGTACTCTCAACCCAGAGCCCGAGGGCAACAAGGTAACCTTGCATAGCATCTGCCAAGCTTCAGGAAATTTTTTTTTTTTTTTTTTCTGCAACAGTCTTTTTTGGGATTGCACATAGAGGGGGTTCGCACGGAAAAGGTTAGAAACTTAATTAGCCTTGTCTTGGGTTTCGAAAACATCGAGGGTGATGGCATGTCCTTAACTTGATCCTTCTCCATCCGGTTTAAAACGACAATGCGAATGCGCACCTCGGGCCTGGGATTCCCGGCTACCCAACTGCTGAAAAAAAGAATGCCTGTGAATGACACGTACATGAATGCAGCTACTGAGAAGGTAGACAAAATTTCACCAAAAGGAGTAATTTCTGTATTATGTTTTCGTAAAACAGGGCTGGGCAGGCTTGATGCGCATCCTCACAAGTTAATAGGAAGATAAAGTTTTAAGAATGCGGGCACAATTTTACAAGGCTCATCACACCAAAAAGGGCTGACAAAGAGTGACAAAAGTTGAGGGAACTGCAGGTCAGAGTCGACCCTTGATTCGAGTGTATGGCCCAATTATATCAAGTATTTAACAAGGTGCAAAGGGCAACTTTTGACCCACGTTCTTCACCAGTCTTCTTTGAGCTTTTGGCAGTGACAGTATCGGTGGTGCATCCAGTCTTGTTTGGCATCCTCATTCTGCTTTGGAACTTAGCGATTTGGGTTTTTTTAGTAGGCCCAGCAAAAGGCAGAAGATATACAATTACAATTCAAGATGGGAAGAAAGTATTGCTTTCTTGATGTGAAAGGAAAGTGCCTGTGTTTGCTGTGTGGTGCTTCTGTAGCATTGGCCAAGAAACATAATGTGGAACGTCAATTTCAGACGAATTACGAAACATTTACAACAAACTGGCCAGAGAGTTCAGAAATTAGGAAGAAGAAAGTATGTGAGCTGAAATCGAAGCTTTCAGTGCAGCAATCAGTATTTGTAAGGCCAGTTTCAAAGTCCAAAAATGCAACAACAAACTTCGTTTAAAATTGCTCATTTGCTACCAAAGAAGAAGAAAAAAACATTTCAAGACAGTGAGTTGCTAAAGGCATTTCTTGCAGGTGCCAAAAGCCTCTTTGACAGATTTTTCTAACAAGCACAAAATCATCAATGCAATTCAGGACTTTCAATTATCGGACAGCACTGTTTTAAGGAGAACAGAAACAATTGCTGATGATATGCAATATCAACTGAAGAGAGACTTGGAAACATGTGAATGGTTTTCTCTCCAATTTGATGAGTGCATGGATATTTCTGACACAGCACAGTTAGCTGTTATGATAAGAATGTTATTTAACAACATTTCTGTTAAAGAAGAATTATTTAAAATTCTGCCTTTGAAGATGAGAATGCGAGGAGAGGACATTTACAACATTTCTAGACATTTGCGGCAGAAATTGCCTTGCTGGTTAAAAAGCTATTGACAATTACCACAGACGGAGCACCAGCCATGACAGGAAGAACTAATAGCTTTGTCGCTTTAAGCAAGAAAGACGAATGTTTTCCAAACTTCATGTCTTATCACTGCGTCGTTCATCAAGAAGTGTTACATGCAAAGATACTTAGATTTCAACATGTCATGAATGTTGTCACGTCAATTATCAATTCTATTTGTGCGGCTCATTTCCAACACCAGCTTTTTAAAGTACTGCTGTAAGACTACAAAGATAAAACAATCGACTTCATCTTGCATGTAGAAGTCCGATGGCTCAGCAGAGGCAAAGTTCTATCACGGTTTTTATCTCTAATCGAGCAGATAAAAGATTTGATGCAATCTAACCCTGACAAATTCAGTAAACACAATGAAAAACTAAGCGACTCTTTGTGGCTACTTGATCTGGCTTTCCTTGCTGATATCACTGAGAAACTTAACATCTTAAATCTGGATCTTCAGGGTAAAGACAAGGAACTAGTTAAAATGATGGGATCTGTGAAACCTTTCAAAATCAAATTGACATTATGGATGTCTCAAATGAGATCAAAGTCCCTGGTTCATTTTCCAAACATGAACAAAATGGCGAACGACGACAATTTTCGGTCCTTGTGATTTTCTGGCCATCTCGAGATGCTTCTGGACCAATCTGAAAAGCGATTTCAAGATTTCAGTTGCCTGGAGCCAATGGTGAGCTTTTTTGTTAACCCATTCATCACAAAGCAACTGAAAACGCCACAGCAATTGCAAGAATTATTGACGCAGAAGCAGAAAACCTCGAGCTGGAAATAGTTGAACTGAAGAATATTATCCTGCAAACACATTCCACATTCTGGAAACTTATGGAAAAGAAGAGGTTTCCATTATTAAGAAGTGTTGCATATGAAATCAAATCTTATTTTGGGTCTACCTACCTCTGCGAATACCTGTTTTCAACCATGAACATTATCAAATCAAAGAACCGTAGCAGGCTCACTGATTCACATCTTGACAATAGCTTGCATGCGGGAACCTCAGCGTATGCACCTAACGTACATATGTTTGTAGGAGAAATTCAGTGTCAAAAATCGCATTAAGTGCAACACCATAAACAGAAGAGACACGACTATATTGTAAGTAATAAAAACTTTGTACATGAAATGTATATTTTGTTTCTATCTCGATCCATTTTTTCAAATCTTCTTTATGAGGGCGTGTTGTTTTCTTAAGAGCTAGCGTTAACTAGTAATGTGGTAATATCGCCAAGGGATAGCCTGAATATCACCCGGGACTTCGCTTTCTGAAACTGTCTTGTGTGCCTCAGCACCAAAAAAGGTTGAGTACCACTGACTTAGACAGACACCCGCCCACTTGAATCAATGCATCTGAAGGCATGCTGGGCTACCACATAAAGGATGACAACCATCAGCAAGAATACTTTTTAGGCAATTGGTTGAAAGTAGCTTTTAGTCATGCCACTCTTTATAGTGTAAGGTAACAAGTCTTGCAGTTTGATCAATGACAGTCATCAAATAAAAGCCTGGAAACAAGTCCAATCCTGCCTCAAATACTAAATGCTATGCTCTCTAACAACACAAACACACCAGGATTACAGTTAGCGACACAATTAACATTGTTAGCTGCTCACCTCTGGCTCATATCAGAGACACAATGTCAGTATGATGACGCATGTGTAATTGCATACATGTACACAAAAGAATAAACACATTATTTGCTCTGAAAAATCTAAAACCTTGTTCAAGATATCACAATCAATATCTAAAATGACTATCCATTCAGCAATATCAATATCTAAAATGACAGCATCCATTCTTTAACTGCAAGCTGTTTTAAAAATTTCATCATTCAGGTTTCATTTTTTTTAATTACACACTACACTTTTTACAGCACACAACTACTCCCTTACTCCCACTATAATAAATAATAATAATAATAATAATAATAAATAAATAAATAAATAAATAAACTTTGATCTATTACACATTTATCTGTAACTGTAACTGCCTTATAAAAATATCTGAAAATTTTATGATTATCTCTCAAAATTTCATATATTTCAATTATAAAAAGAAATTTTGTGTAATATTAAATAAATGGGTAACTCACCTATGTTGAATAAATATCTAAAGATTCAAAATTCATTATACCTAAAAATAAAATACAAAATTTTAGTTAGTTCATTGCAAACAGATTTAATTTTTACATTAAAGAAAGTGATGAAGGGGTAAAACTTCAAATTACTTTTACATTGTGTCTATTACGAACTGGTATTGCTGGAGATCTTGGGAGCTGAGCAACATTTGAAACAGCCTGTGGGATATGATCCTCCAACTGCATAGGTGAGGGTTTGGGGCTTTCATAATTAAAATGTGGAGAAGCTCGACATGGGCTATGCATTAAAAAAAAAATGCAGACATTAGAAACTGTATGCAATGAAATTATTGCTACAATATAATACTTTATACTAATTCAGAAGTCAAACAACAAAAATCAGCGTTATATTTACAAAATTTTCACAGAACTAGTTTCGATGATTTTACCGAACCACCATCTTCAGCTGCAAAACCGCAAATGAACAAGATAGGAAATAATGATTAGATAAGATAAGAAAGCCTGGACAAGAATAAGCAAGTGGCGCCATCTGTTGGTGAAACCAGAACTAAAACATAATTTCTTTAAAGGCCGAAGGCAAATTTGGATTAGAATTAGGGATCGTTAACTAGAACAGAAAGATTTTATGAATGTGAAATGCCTCTAGAAATCCAGTTCTCCAATGGAAGATGTTTTTTTGAATAATTTTGGCAGCAGAAAAACTGAAAGTGTGGTTTTTCGGACCAACAATGTTGAGCAACAGAAGACTTCTGTGTTTCCTTTTTTCTAACATATGCCTCATGTTCCTTGACGCGAAATTTTAAGGCTCTCTTAGTTTGGCCAATGTAAATTAAACCACACTGGCAAGGAATCCTATAAATACCCCAGGAATTCATATCCGGAATGGGGGTCCTTGAGTATGGAACTCGGAATTTTATTGTTGGGAGAATAAACAACCCGAAAGTTAAATTTCTGCAAAATATGTGCAACTTTATAGCTAACTGATGGGAATGACAACAGAATTTTTATAATCTCCTAAAACAAGAGTGTGACTTTTAGTGTGTTGAGATGAGAATTTTTTAACTGCTTGATTAATAATGTTGGGTGGAAAGCCACTGTCAATAGCTATTGCTTTTAAATACTTTAGTTCTTCATCAAGGGCTAGTTTGGAGGAGCAAACTTGAAGAGCATGGAAAACATAGGAATAAAATGAAGATAAACTTTGTTTGTCGGATGACATGATTGAAAGTGTGGTGGAAGGCAAACGATGAAGGTTTACGGTAAACCGTAGTACTGAAGTTGGATGTGTTACATGTGACCAGAATGTCGAGAAACGGAAGAGAATTGCAAGTCTCAAGTTCAAAAGTGAACTGAATAGCAGGATCAATAGAATTCATTGTTGAAAGAACTTTATTTAAATCATCTTTATTACCTTCAAAACAGAGCAAAGTATCGTCTACGTAGCGGAACCATGCCGGGAAGTTTTAAAGTTTCAAACAATTTTGATTCATAATAATGCATGTAGATATCAGCCAGATGGACTGAGGGGGCTTCCCATGGCTAATCCCTCAGTTTGCTTGTAATATTTATTTTGGAAAACAAAATGTGTTTGTTTCAAACAGAGTTGAGTGAGAGAAATTAGTTATCAATTTCGATGCAAGAGAAATGAAATTCGCGAAGTCTGGTTTCTAGACATCTTAATGCACCCTCCACTGGGACATTGGTGAATAATGATTTTACATCAAAAGAAACCATGAGTAAATTACTAGGAGAAATGTTTTTAATTTTTTTTACAAACTCTATTGAATTTTTTATGGTGTAAATGTTATTGTCTAATAGAGTTGAAAATCTAGAAACTAAATATTTAGCTAATGGATACGAGGCAGTACCTAAATTTGATACAATAGGGCTTAAGGAATACCACTTTTATGAATTTTGGGAAGAGCATATAATCTGGCACAATTCGCAACAGATGGGATAAGTGAATGTTTTAAGTTGCTTGAAATGATTTGCGAAGATTTGATCGCAGTTTTTATTTTTCACAAGTCCGAAGGTGAAGGATTTTTAGGGATCGGATTATATGGTCCTTCGTTTAAGAGTTTAGTGACACCATCGATGTAAGTGTTCCTATCCATGACGACTATCTGGCCACCTTTGTCGGCCTTTGAAATAATAATATCCGGGTTAGAATGAATTTCACGCATGTAACTCTTTCTCTCGCAGTTAGATTTGGTTTCAAAGGTTTTATTGAATTTCACATTATGAGCGATAAGATGCCTAATCATTTCTTTCTGTGAATCTGAAACTTTACTGAACTTGAAAGTTTTTTTTTCGATAGGAGCCAAAATCTTTGGAATCGAGGGTTTACAGGTTTGTGAGAAGTTAAAATTATATTTTAGAATTCTCTCTTGTTCTTCTGAAAGACTAACAATAGAAATTCAATGATAAACCTTTGAAACCAAATCTAACTGCGAGAGAAAGAGCTACATTGCGTGAAATTCATTCTAACCCGGATATTATTATTTCAAAGGCCGACAAAGGTGGCCAGATAATCGTCATGGATAGGAACACTTACATCGATGGTGTCACTAAACTCTTAAACGAAGGACCATATAATCCGATCCCTAAAGATCCTTCACCTTCGGACTTGTCAAAAATAAAAAACTGCGATCAAATCTTCGCAAATCATTTCAAGCAACTTTAAAACATTCAACTTATCCCATCTGTTGCGAATTTGTGCCAGATTATATGCTCTTCCAAAATTCATAAAGTGGTTTCCCTTTCCGACCCTATTGTATCAAATTTAGGTACTGCCTCGTATCCATTAGCTAAATATTTAGTTTCTAGATTTTCAACTCTATTAGACAATAACATTTACACCATAAAAAATTCAATAGAGTTTGTAAAAAAATTAAAAACATTTCTCCTAGTAATTTACTCATGATTTCTTTTGATGTAAAATCATTATTCACCAATGTCCCAGTGGAGGGTGCATTAAGATGTCTAGAAACCAGACTTCGCGAATTTCATTTCTCTTGCATCGAAATTGATGAACTAATTTCTCTCACTCAACTCTGTTTGAAACAAACACATTTTGTTTTCCAAAATAAAATATTACAAGCAAACTGAGGGATTAGCCATGGGAAGCCCCCTCAGTCCCATCCTGGCTGATATCTACATGCATTATTATGAATCAAAATTGTTTGAAACTTTAAACTTCCCGGCATGGTTCCGCTACGTAGACGATACTTTTACTCTGTTTTGAAGTAATAAAGATGGATTTAAATAAAGTTCTTTCAACGATGAATTCTATTGATCCTGCTATTCAGTTCACTTTTGAACTTGAGACTTGCAATTCTCTTCCGTTTCTCGACATTCTGGTCACACGTAACACATCCAACTTCAGTACTACGATTTACCGTAAACCTTCATCGCTTTGCCTTCCACCACACTTTAAATCATGTCATCCGACTAAACAAAAGTTAGCTTCATTTTATTCCTATGTTTTCCGTGCTCTTCAAGTTTGCTCCTCCAAACCAGCCCTTGATGAAGAACTAAATTATTTAAAAGCAATAGCTATTGACAGGGGCTTTCCACCCAACATTATTAATCAAGCAGTTAAAAAATTCTCATCTCAACACGCTAAAAGTCACACTCTTGTATTAGGAGATTATAAAAATTCTGTTGTCATTCCCTTTTTTCCATCAATTAGCTATAAAGTTGCACATATTTTGCAGAAATTTAACTTTCGGGTTGTTTATTCTCCCATCAATAAAATTCCGAGTTCCATACTCAAGGACCCCATTCCGGATATGAATTCCTGGGGTATTTATAGGATTCCTTGCCAGTGTGGTTTAATTTACATTGGCCAACTAAGAGAGCCTTAAAATTTCGCGTCAAGGAACATGAGGCATATGTTAGAAAAAAGGAAACACAGAAATCTTCTGTTGCTCAACATTGTTGGTCCGAAAACCACACTTTCAGTTTTTCTGCTGCCAAAATTATTCAAAAAACATCTTCCATTGGAGAACTGGATTTTCTAGAGGCATTTCACATTCATAAAAATCTTTCTGTTCTAGTTAACGATCCTAATTCCAATCCAAATTTGCCTTCGGCCTTTAAAGAAATTATGTTTTAGTTCTGGTTTCACCAACAGATGGCGCCACTTGCTTATTCTTGTCCAGGCTTTCTTATCTTATCTAATCATTATTTCCTATCTTGTTCATTTGCGGTTTTGCAGCTGAAGATGGTGGTTCGGTAATACCATCGAAACTAGTCCTGTGAAAATTTTGTAAATAAAACGCTGATTTTTGTTGTTTGACTTCTGAATTAGTATTTATTCGGCGTGTGATTATGTCTTAATTAATACTTTATATTAACATTATTGCTAAATGTACTATATCAGAGTAATATGAAAAACACAACACAGTAAAAGTATTTTACAAAAGAAATATGCAGGGTCTCAATAAATACTGAAAACACAGACTTCTAAAATTTTCTTTTTAAAAACTTTCACTTTCCCACATTCATATTTTGTACTAGAATACCTCATATATGAACCAATTTAGTCCTAACAGTAATTCATAAAGATCATGTTCAGAAAATAGTTACGTAAATTTATTAATTTGAATTTTATATTAGAGATTGCATTACCACAGCATCTATACATGATCAAGTTATTTTCTATTAGACAGCAAAACATGTAAATCTGATTTCCCCCCCCCCCAATGAATTTATAAAATGGAATAAGATTTCATAAAATGAAAATTTGTAAAATAATTTATGATTCCACCACCAAAACGACGTTTACTAACCATCATAATTTTTCCAAGAGTCATCTGTCATTGCTGGTATTGTAAAAAGTGAAAAATTATCCATACTGCTGAATGCAAAGAGGAAGCAGCACCAAAATATAATCCAGTAACACAGAAATTATACCTTTCATATTTGTCATTCTCATTTCTTTTACAATTTTTAATGTCAAGAGAACGTTCCACCCAGTTTATTGAGCATGAAAAGTTATTTAGTTCCTTTAATATTATTCAATAACTCTATAGCAATGGTCTCAAATTGTGAGCCCGCAGGCTACCCCTCACAGCAATTTTACGTAGCCCCCAAATATATTTCTTACAAACTAATTAATATTATTATGATATTAATTACTGTAGCAAATATTTGGGGGAAAGGTTTAAGATAGAGTCTAATTTTACATTATTTTCATTGTCAATAACAATTGTGATATAAATCTTATTCAAAGATTTAATCAAAGGTATAAATCTTATTCAAAGATTTATACATACAGTTTTGAGTAACCTTTTTTCATATATGTCAAAAGATAAATACACTCAGTTATGAATTTTTGCAGTAAGAATCATCACTTTATTTGGGAATATATTTATATGCATTGGTTCCATCATATATATTCCAACAGTTCGATTAGAACCATCATTTACTTCCAGTTCTGTTGCAAAAAGTCAGGTACAGGATGTCACCAAATTATGTATACAGCTTTAGGTAATGTTGCATCATATGACACTGTGAAAGTTTGGTACCGAAAAGTTCAAAAACAAGAACCATGGCATTCAAGCAGAGCACTCTGGTCGGCTTACTGATGTTGATGAGGCCCGCCTGCGAGAACTTCTGGAAGAACATTCTACAACCACTTAAGAAGAGTTAGATGTTAGTGCCATGACCATTAGTCATGCTAAGCATTACATAAACTTGATGTACAAGTACAATTGCCCGGTGCAACATAAGCTGACTCAAGCAGCAGACAAGGACAGACATGTTTGAGCCTGCACTAATCTACTTGAATATCAACACAAGGACAAAATTCTGGACCATATCATCACTTGTGATGAAAATTGGATTTACTTCAACAACAAAAGTTGAAACGGGGGTAGGTTCATGCCCAGTGAGCCTGTCGGCAGCATCGCAAAGCACAAATTAACTAACGAAAACATCATGCTTTGTATCTGATGGGATTGCCGTGGTATCATCCACAAAGAGTATCTGAAAAAAGGTAGTTTCCTCTACAGTAAGATGTACAGCAAGATGGTAGTCTGTGTTGACTCTACTATCAAGGAAAAACGTTGAACTCAGGTTCTGATGGAAAGAGGTCTAAAACCTTGAATCAATACCTAAAGTGACTATGGAGCGCATTCATTTTTCAACTGCAAAACTGTTTCCATCAAAATAATGCACATGTGTCTCCATTCACGGGCTGAACTTTGTATGGACTCAAATGGGATCTTTTGCCATACCCACCATACAGCCCCGACATCACTCCTTTGAACTTCTACCCTTTTTTACACCTGCAGTTACATCTTGCTGGTGCTATCTTCCATTCTGCACAGGACATCCAAAATGAGGTTGATATGTTTTTGGATTTGCAGTCACCAAGTTTCTGGGCTGAAGGTTTTAAAACTACCAAAACCAGAAAATCAGATTTGGGCGGTGATTACTACCTGCAATAAAATGCACTGCTTTCATGTTTTTATTTCTAACTTTATTAAGAATGTTTTTGACAGAAAACTTTTGTTACAACCACATATAACTGACATGAGCTTTCTCGATCATACTTTCATGTAAGAAATACTTCTTTTACAGAAATGTACTTGTGAGGAAGTGGCTGATGCAGATAACTACATTTTTAAAGGTCCTCTAACATTTCAGTTTCTTATAAAGTATTTAACTGACAATAAGCTCCTTTTCAAAGGTACCTGATCAAGAATTTACTTCTGGCAGCAAAAGTACATAATAATATATAAGTATTAATACATCAATAAAAATGACATAAAATCCATGAAAGAACAGAACTGTATTCTATTTTTCATGATCTAAATTAACAGTTTATTAAATTATTGTTAATACTACACGACTAAGATTGACATATTGGCTTAATTGTATTAGGAAAATTAATATGCTCCATATAAAAGCGGCATATTCATGATATCATGTAAATATAGTTAGTGCTAGTTATTGGAATGTGTTGATGAATAGTCTGGCATCGATGTACAAATTTAAATTCAAATAGTTTTCACCTGAAACTGTAACCCTATTTATAGAGTAGTTATGTAATGCAATTGTCTAACAAATGTTGAAATCTTGTTGCCTCAGCTAAGCATAATAGTCTGTTGAAAATTGTAGAGCAGGTTCCAAAGAAAGAAACAGTGTTTTGGTTTATTTACTTATGGTAAAGCACTCGAGTGCTATATGCCTAAGGGAAGGGATGCTTTCGTGAGAACTTTTTACGGGTAACTGGCTCACATACATGCTACAGGTGAAGAAAACAACAGAAATGCCTATCTGGCCAGCCCATATGCCAGGATTCGAACCCTGGATCAAACTACCAGTGGGGGGAGGGGACTTTACCACTCTACTGCTCGTGGGTTCTCAGTGTAGAGCAAACACAGCTCTAAAATTTGAAGAATTCTGGTGTAGTCACTCTTCAATGGGGATACTCTTATACAAGGCTAGTACATAAGAACAATATCTGCCAAATTTTAAGAGCTGTCTAATTTTTTTTTTTTTTTAATAAAACAGCACAAAATGATACAAATTAACTTTCGGATCCAGAATTTTTTTAGCACTGTACTAAAACAAAAGTAATGTGACAACACATGCAAGACTAACACAATGTAAAAATATCTTGCTTTTCTTATAAAGCTGATTAAATGTCACTCTTTATTAACAGTAATTAAAAAAATAGAGAGGAATGTGCTTTGATTTTAAAAAAAAAACGCAGATTTTCCAGCTTATCAAATTATGCTTCAAGATCATAACTGCACAATAATATGAAAATTATTTTTTGACATTTAGGAAAACTACGTTTATTGAGCAAACTTTCATATGTGTGAAATTTGTAAATAAAAAGTATTACTAAATAAATTATTACCTGAATGCACCTCTTGGACTGAGACCATATTTTATGGGTGACCTGGATTTACTATGAAATACTTCATCTAATACGGATGGTGCTATGTAAGAAAATCCCTAAAAGAGGAAAGTCGTAAAAGAAAGTTAAAGAAATAACGTATCTATTGTTATCAACGTTATATATTGAAACAACAACGTATCTATCTAATAAAACAACAACGTATCTATTGTTGTTTCATTAGAATTCAAATTCAGATACTTACACAAAATATCTGATTCTGACTTTCACTTAGTGAAGAATCATCTGGACTATCATAGGGTGCAATACTTGTAAATTTTGGATCAAACTGGGATACATCATCTTCACTAACCTATTTAATAAATATATTGCTAAATACAAAATAAAAAGTGCAGATGAAAATGGATTACAAAAAGCTTATAGATATTAGAAGTTACAGTTTTATTTTAAACCTATCAAATTTTCAGTCAAAGAAACTGCAATAACTAATAAAATTTGTCAGAAAGAGAGAAGCATTAAATATATGTTTATAACTTCATCAAAACAATTTTTATTAAGGACAAATTCAGAAGATTTTATATCACAGACACATTAAATTATCTTTTACTGTAAATAATGAATGCAACAAAAATTATATTAATTAAAATATAACTTTTACGTTATTATTTAAAATTATTTTCAGATCATTATGAAAATAAATACAAATAGCACCAATATTTAACTAAACACAAATAATCCCAGAAAATTCTTCAAAAGCCGCTAAAGCTTTAGTAACAAGGTTACAAAAGATATACAGTAATGCAAAGACTCACAAAATTCTAAATTATTAGGTTGCTAAAAACTGTAGTTGTACAACTAGAAAATATTTCTGGACTAGAACATTATTAAAGGTTTAATAATATAATAAAAAGGAAGGTATGAGGCAACACAAGTAAATTAATTGCATCCATTAAGAATAAGCCTTAATAAGTTTTTAAATAAATCCTTTGCTTGTAGTTGTTTTTAACTTCAAAAAAGGCTTAAATCATTTGGTTAACAATGCATCTGATAAAGATACTGTGAAAGAATACAATGCAAAGCTAGATTCTTACTTTTTTTTTTTCCCCCATGACAAAGTCAACTTTAAAGATCAGCAGCATTCACCATAGCATTTGGCTACAAATAACAACACGGTGAGGCACATATCAGAACGCAAATGTTAATGAGCAACAATTTGTACTCAGCAGGCAAGCTTCATTAATGGGATTATATGTTTATATGTCCATGTACATTAATATACTGCTATTTCAAAGCTTAGCTTGAATCCATCCGCACAAGGGACAAAAAGACAGCCCATTTACATCAATGTACAACTCAAGCGACTCGGGTGAAAAAAAATTAATTACCTAGGCTTAAACCTTAGCTTAAACAAGGATCCACTAAGTGGTTTTGTATATTTGTTCAAATTAACAAAAAAAAAAAAAAAAAAAACTTTAGAACTGCTTTTGCTAGTACCAGCATCAGTTCTGAGCCTGCTGTTCAAAGCTACAACATATTACTGATTAATATATTTAAGAATGCTGAATAAATGGCAGCAATGAGCCATCAACAAGGCAAGCTGAATGAATGCCATCAATGAAACTGAGTAACTGGTACAATTTACCTTTTCTGAGCAATCTTACATATTTTTTTGTGCTAGTGTAAAACATTTACAAATTAATGATACAAGAAACAAAGGAAAACCTTTATATTCAATTCGGTAAATCATTACTTAAATGAAGCTTTGATTTTATTACTTAAGCATAATTTAAATCAAACAGAGAATTTATTTTCATTTATTTCACAAGAATTATAGTTGTTCAAAGTACTCATTATTCATTATCAGTAAGACATATGAAATGACTACCAACTAGTGTTAAGTTTAAAAAATATTTTTTTCCTCTTTACCAGGGGAGGCTTGAATGGAGGTTCTACTCTTCTAGCTAATACATCATCCCAGTTTACATGGCGAAAGAATGGATGGCATTTGATTGCTTCCGCATCCTCCGGACCACTGCCAAGCCTCTGATTAACTGGTCTTCTCAAAAGCTACAGAAATTATAGCACAGTATTCACATATTGGCTCTCATATAAAGAAATTGTGTGAAGCATTTAACAGAATAGCTAATTAAACATGCTACACTTCATATTCTGACAAAGTATACTTTTGTTGATGTATCAGCTTAAATTGTTATTGTTAAAAAAAAAATCTTAATTCAGTTAATGTAGACATTACTTTTCTTGATTTAAGAAAATAAATTAAAATGCAAGATATTATAATTTTTATTAAGTTTTTATCATTATTATTTAAGCAATTTTCTAAAAGCAAGAGCAATTAATTTCCTTAAAATTGTTCAGCTTAAAACTTTTGAAATTGTAAATTTAATTTATTTCAGCAAATTTAATCTTTTCTATCTTTTCTCTGTAATTCTTTTAATATATTATGTTGTTATGATAAATTTCAAGACAGTTTGACCATCTTGCAGTATTTTATTGCTTCAGAACATATAAATTTCTATCTCACAGGGTGTTCAAAATAGTAAATATTTTTTGCCTTTAAAAATCACAACTTTTAGTATATTTTTCAAAAAAACTATGTGTTGTCCTTCTTTTTCAGGTAAGCTGTATTCATAGAGTTGTCACAAAAGCAAAGAAATCTGGTCTGCCAAATTCCGTGTCCTATTTTGGAAATAAAAACTACATATCTCATAGATTCAGGCTATTGAGTGCTTATTCCTCAAATGGGAATCTGAAGGCAATTTTTACTAAATAATTAGGCAGCTAATTGTTTTCTTGTGCAATTCTGAATATTGGGGTCAGGAGAATTTTAGGGATTGTTACTTTAATTTACAGCAACTCTTTCATTTGAGCCAGGGATATTTTGCAGCTTGCTTCATCAAAGAAACATTGATTTCTATGAATTGGCTGATGAGAATGTTTCTGCTGCATCTAAGGAAAATGGAGATATGGAGAATGAACAAATTTCATCATTTTAGCTTGCATCATTTCTACATTGCAATACTCTATTCTCTCATGGTCAAAGTCTTGTTTGCACCCAATTTGTATTGAAAATAGCCTGACAAGACTATTTTCAATACAAAATTAGAATTAATTAGATAATTTATTGTTAAGACTACATGACTAAGATTGACAAATTGGCTTGATTGTATTAGGAAAGGAATTCTAAGGACTGAAGAATGAATTTAATTACAGTATGAAAATTTCAAGACAGAATTTAGACATTTTTCTAGTTTTTATAGGAATTCAAAAAGATGTGAGAAAAAACTGAACATTACAGGCATGTGGGAAAAAAATATGCTAAAAGTTAAAAGTGTTGAACATTACAGGCATGTGGGAAAAAAATATGCTAAAAGTTAAAAGTGTTATGTTATAACTGAATGCCTTCATTATCAAGAAAAATTAGACAACATTTCTATTGTTTATTGTAGCAAATGAACCAAGCCAGATGAAGATTCTCTGGCTACTCGACGTCTGCGAAGTCGGGCGGGGGGGGTTAGACTGTAACAAATGAGCATCGTCGGCAAAGCTCTCTACCGATGATATGGAGAAAATTGGCACCCAACTCGCAGCAGCAGTATAGAGTTGCAGAACGTGTCAAATTTACTTTTATTTCAGGATACTTCATACAGATGTTTGATAACCATTTTGTTGTCTTATATGAAAAGAATGGATCTTCTTACCCCAGAGGTGCATTGCTAATATCTACCCCGATATGTATGATTAAGATAAGTAATCTTGACTTAAAACGATTGAATAATATTTGATTATTTGTAGTATTAGAATTTTAACTGATACTAAGTTTTGACAAATGTGTGAATTATAAGTACTGTGAACCAGTAGTGTTTATTTCCAGTTACTGTGAAGTTGATTTCTTCTGTATGACCCTAAGTGCTTAAAATTATCAATGATATCTAAGGACTGAAGGACAAATTTAAATATATTTAGAATTCAAACAAATATAAAATTAGAATATTAAGCTTTAACAACCACAGTGTGAACTTTAACTGAGACTTTACGACAGTGTTTAAATTTCGCAAAAGACAAAAATGTCCTTTTTGTGTAGGGGGAGAAAAGAAGATTTAAAACTTCTTGCCCTTGAATTGGATTTAGTCGTGGCAGACAATCTAAACAATTAAAAGAACTCGTAACAAAATCCGATAATTATGATGAAGAATTAGTGAAAAATATGTTGACTAATATAATAAATAGAAGAAAGACTTGAGAAACAAGCTGAATTAGAACTTATTGCTCAAGAAGAAACTGCTAAGGAAGGAAAATTAGCCAAGAAAGAGCAGAAGAGCGAGCTTATGAATTGGAACACTTGAAACTTCAACTTGACGTTCAGAAGACACCTCTCTCCACTAGAACAGGTCTTGTTGCTAATTAAAAAAATCAGTTGGGATTTTGAGAGAATTTTACCTAAATATGATCCTAAGGATAATTACATGGTCTTATTCCTAAACGTTATTGAGAGACAACTGAAATTTTTAAACGTTCCACAAGAAACTTCGGTTTCGTATTTTACTTAGTGGGATCGTTACCAACAGAAATTGGAAAATTAATTGTTCGTGAACCAGACGAGGAATCAAGAGATTGCCAAAAGATGAAGGAAATGCTTTTAAAGACAAATAAGCTCACTGCTGAAAGTACTTGGCGTGATTTCTATTTTGAACTGACCAGTTATTTTGAAAATTGGCTTAAACAATTAAATGTTACAAAATTTTATGATCTGAAGCAGCTCATTATATCTTATCAAATGAAAAAGAGAGTTTCTCAAGAAGTAAAAGATCACTTTTTGGGCATTTGGACGAACTTAAACTCGCATGCAGAATTAGCAGAAAATTTGGACACTTACGATTGTTTACATAATAACCAAAGCAAAGTTGCAATCTCACCAACTCAAAAGAAAACTTCCAATTCTGAAGGTGGTATCCCCAAAATCCAAGCCAGTGAAGAAGACACATACCAATGTAGCAGATTTAGCAAAAAGCCCAGATTGTCAGCACTCCACGAGTTCAACCTCAACTTGTTTTGACAATATTTATATACAAAAGTTAAGCAACACTAAGACTACTGCAGTGATGAATATCTCTATCAATGGAATATAGAGCACAGCTTGTGTGGATAGTGGAGCAAGTCATTCAATCGCTGGCAAAAAACTCTACCACAACTTGAAAGAAGATTGGGTAAATTTCGAGAAATCCTCTTGCCCTGTTTGTCTCACTGATGGCAGCGAAACAATGAAACACATTTGCACAACTTGTATGAAACTTGGCCTTGAAAGATGGACTTTCCCTTTGACGCTGATAGTTCTTCCTGATGCTACAGGTAATTGAACACTACTTGGAGAAAACTTCTTAAGGGAAGAGAGTAGTTTTAAATACTCGAGAGCAAAAGTGTTTTTTCGGTGACAGTCCAAATAAATATTTTCTATTTGCTGAGTTCAAGTCCAATCCTGTGACATGTTAACAAATCCTTGCCTACTACCTCCAGACAAAGGTGAAAATATAACTGAAGAGCAGTGAAAATGATTGAACGCCTTATTAATAAAATATGAAACTATGCTCTCTCCAGGGGGGAGAGAACCAACTCCTTACATCGAGCACCAAATTGATACAGGTGACTCACCTCCAATGGCTACAACCCCTTACACACTATATCCAGAAAGAAAGGAGATTTTGAAGAAATCAATGCTCTTCTTGCATCATGCATAATGGAAGAGTGAGATTCACCATAACGCAGCACTCATTGTTTTAGTTCCCAAGCCAAACGGTGCCTTTCTATTATGTATTGACAACAGGAAACTGAATTCCATGACTCAGTCTGATCCCTACCTGCTGCCTCATATGAATGAACTTCATAATGTAAAGCAAACTAGATATATGCCTACCACAGACTTAAAATAAGGGCATCAGCATGTTAAGATGTACTTTCCGGACAAAGAAAAAATTGCCTTTGTATGTCAGTTTGGAGTCTATAGATTCACAAGAATGCCTTTTGGTTTTAAGATGGCACCAGCCACATCCAAAAAGTTAATAGATATTTTCCAGAATGAGTTAAAGATCCACACTTATCTCGACGATATTATTGTGATGTCTTTTACTTTTGAGGAGCATCTCGAACACTTGCACTTAGTTTTTGATTGACTCTTAAAATTCAAACTTCATGCTAATTGAAACAAATGTCATTTTGCTTGTTCTAAAGTGAAATATCTTGGACATTTTATCACAAGTTCTAGAGCTGAAGTAGACCTTGCCATAGTAAAAGTCATTCAGCAAATTTCCTCACCAAAGAATGTGAAGCAAGTGCAAAGTTTCCTTCAGACTTGCAGCTGGTATTGATGCTACATTTCTAATTTTGTAGAGATCTCAAGACCATTGAGTAATCTCACGAAGAAGCACTCCATTTGGAAATGGAGATCAAGAAAGATTTCTAAGAATGTTTCGCAAAAGAACCAACCACATAATTCTTCCTCTGGCTACTCACTGAAACATCTTCATAGCCAGGAGAGAGACTGTAACAAAAGAATATCATCGGCCACGTCCTCTACCGATGATATAGAGAAAATACTCAGTTTAATGCACACGAGCTGAAGAAGTGAGCTGTTATTGTTTGAATTCAAGCTCTTAACTTAAAACTATTTGATGTAATTCCATTTTCTGTTTTGATTGTTTTCCAGTATGGTGTTGTCAGGTAGTAATAACACATTTAAAACTATCTCCTAATTAAATGATTTGATTTTTTAAGCATTAATACATTATTAATTTGACCAATCGTGATATTATAAAAATTATGAATTAGATGTAAATTGTAACAAGTTGATATATTAAAAAAAAATAATAAGTACACATGTACAATCCATTGGTATACAGATACATACAGTTTCATTGCATAGCTCATCATCTATAACACTAAGTATTAGATTATTGGTTGTACACAATATACAGTGGCTTCCAAAAGTGTTCGTACACTTATGACTTTCATTGAAATAGGGCTCTATCCATTAATTAAAAGTAAACTTTCTGAAT